GGGAATCGGAGATGATTAACAGCTAGAGGTTATATTGGGAACCTCAGTGAAATGACTCCTATGACTAAACCTGAGCAAGGACCTAATCATAAATTTAGAAAGTTTCATGTTGAAAAGGGTAGTGATGGAAAGTACACTAAAAAAATTGGGAAATAAGTTTTTGAGGCCTATATGAGGCTAAAAATGATAAAAATACCCCTGGAGCATATTGATGAAATTCTCAAGGTTTTGGCTATTATGAATATTAGTCAAATTTTGAATCATTTAAAATATGACACGACCTCAGATAATTAGGAAAAAATAGGGAATGAATACTTGAGGAATTATCATAGGTTCTAAAAATAATTTCGCCACTAGAAAGCAAAGAGGTTGGCTTTAACAGAACTTAAAGCCTTTATACAATATTTGGGAAAAGTCAAAATAAGCTGTTTATGGGTTGACTTTTGACTTGTGAAAAATTAAAGAAATTTCCTATGATAAAAAGGTAGTATTGGTACCCAGAGATAGATTCTCTGAGTCATGGACTGATAGAAAGAATTTAGTTAGGTTTACTCCGAAATAAATATTATTATATATTTTAATAAAAGCATGAAAGGAAGAGTATCCCTCCCTCCATATGCATGTTATATGATGCCACGTAAGGTTATTTGTGATGTTAAAGGGTGCAAGAATATGTCCTAAGGTTACTGGGAAAGTTAGGGCCTGGAAAAAATACTCGATGCAGTGTAAAATTGTAAAATATGTGGAGGAATAGTCAAGGGTGAGAAGGAGCATGAATTTCTTTTCCTATTTTTCTCCATATTTTAATGCAAATTTGATGAGGGGACATGGACAGAGTTGTACAACTTGTTAAGGGACATGCTTGGAAGAAATGAGATTATTTAATAAAAAATTGTGTTTTACCACATGTGTGATTAGATGGTATGCAATGTGGCATCATCTTGAAGAGGAAAAATATGATCAAGACACCTAGCAAATTACATGGCAAGATCACAAGGGATATGATTTAATTAGATGGCAAGTGTTATGGTAAAGGTAAATTAGACTAACCAAGGTAAATAGTAACTTTATCATTATAAATACCCCTCCTCCCTCCCATATGTGCATTTGGATGGCCAAGTGAGGAAGAGCAAGGGGAGCACGAAATTTTAGAGAGAGAGAGGGGAAGAAGAAGAGCTTCAAGTTCCATGCAAGACCAAGAGAAGAGAAAGAGCTTCAAGTTTCATGCAAGGCCAGGCTTCAAGACAAGGTAAGATTATGGTTTTTAATATAGTTTATGATGTTCTATGTCTTATAAAGATTGATTATGGTTTTTATTAATTTTTAGAAGCATTGAACCCTAAGATGAGATGCTATCCAAATGTGAATAGGGCATAGAAAAGATTGATTGAAGTTACATTAATGATTAAGAGAAAGAAAAGAGTAAGAGTCAAGTGGTTTTATAATGAAATTGGAAAGAATCCAACTTCTCCTTAACTTTGTGATAACTTTGGCCATACCTAGGGTGTATGTTAGAAGTGGATTTTGACGATTTAGATGCTTTTAATATGTTTAGAATGAAAAATTTTATGGGGCAAAGGTTAGAAAGTAAGTTTGGAAGCTTTGGAATTGAAAATGGAATTTTTCCCTAAAACCATATATGTTTCTACCAATAGCTTGGTCACAAGGAAGAAGTTGGATTTTATTTGATTTGAGCTTAGAAATAAATTCTACATGAAAAATTATAGGGGAATACCATATGAAATTAATTTTAGAAAGATTAGAAATCAAACTCAAAAGTTAGAAGTCAATGTGGCTTAAAGAGAGCAAAGTGTTGATATTGATTGTGATAATGGCTCTAATGAGTGAATGGTATTATGTGTTAATGTATTCAGGGCCATGAGATATTAAGAAAGAAGAATGGCAAGGTTGTCCAAGCAATCTTGGTTGTTGGAGGTAAAGGAAATAAAGAGAAAGTTTAAAGACACAAGGTAGTAAACTTGCATTTATTGTGTCCTTGATATGTATATTTGTGTGTTGATGTTGCTTGAGAATGATTTAAAATATGAAAGATTGAATGTTGCTCTATTTCTTGTATATTCCATGGAATGTGTGAATAAAATATTAAGCATTAGAGCATATCATTTTATAAGCATAGAAGCATGAGAGCATGCACCAAGCATGTCATCTACCTAGCATTTATCTTGTATGCGTATTGGGTAATGTTTGCTATTGAGATTCTCTTGAATCTCACCCTCTCTTAACCAACCTAATAGGTTCTAATGAGTAAGCAAGATGATACATGAAGTGAAGGCAAAGAAAAGAAGAGAAAAGTTGAGAAAATGTGTGATATCATATTATGCGATTTCTATGTTAATTTATGTGTATGGATAATGCCAATGATATTATTTAATATTAAATGATGATGATGGCATGGATGATAGTGCATGTTAATGCATAAGAATGAATTATACAATATTGACATGATTATGAATAAGCAAGAAATAAATATGAATTGTTAATTCAAAGTAAAAGGGATAAATGACCCTTAATACGCAGTAAAGTTGAGATAGAGCAAAAGTGAAGTAGATGAATGAGTTTGCTCTTGGAACTTTGTGAGCAATTAGTACACATCCCAAGCTTTAAAATAAGGGGTAGATCATGTGAAATGGATTGTTTGCTAAGATATATGGTTGCTCAAATTTAGGATAGAAAAGCTAGAGGGTACTGTCTGACCAAATGAACAATATAACTTCATGTAATTAACTGTACGAATTGAGAAGGTTTAAGTCTATATTTATATTTTTTTTCTCTGTAGAGAATTGAAAGAGCGTTAAATGGAGACTTAGATCATCTTAATATCATTTTCGATAATTATTTATGAATTTTCAAAATTTGACCAAATATTTAAAATTTTACCACTGACTAGTGACCTGAGAATCAAATTTCAAATTTTCAATCTGCAGCCTTATTTCATAATCTACTAAAACCTTAACGCTTCCAAACGCGTACTAAAAGAGATAAATGGAAGAATGTTTCATGTGCCCTAAATCCTTGTGTGATGAATTTTTAGATGGGTTTGTGGGATTGTGTCCTAGACCTACTTGTTATTGTGGTTAGTTTGGAGGACTTTGATTCGCACAGAACTCTTTATACCCATAGTAGTGCTTGACACTCCAGTCAAGTTTCTTTTTCTTTTATGTTAACTTCTTAAACTATTTCAAAAATTGTGGTTTTAAGAAAGTCTTTTCAATTTTCAATGATCATCCCATATTTAAACCTAGGTGACACAACAAATTAGAACAAAGAAGAATGAAGCCAAAATAGCTCACGCACACATAAAAGAAAACACATAGGCCCGTGAGGACAAGCAAGAATGGAGACATGAAACATATTCATTCCAGATAGTAAACTTGGGACTAGAATAGAAATACATGGCATTTTGGACTAGTCAAACTACTTACTTAATGGCATAGAGAATTTGTTGTGTCTTCTGAACCGATAGTGTGCTTGCTTGTAATACTCAATAAACTAAGGAGAAGATGCTACTTTAGAACCATCATGCTCTTGTGTCTTTGGGCCTTCAATTTTTCCCTCCTCCTTTTTCTATTTTAATGTCGTTTATCATTTTGTTGGCCCTTTGTTATGTTTCTTATAGTATAGGGGCTAATGGTGCAAGGATAAAGGATTTTTTTCTTTAAAAAAACACAAAGAAAGTATAGGTACCGAATTAAAAATTAGGGAAAATAATAGATAGATACAAAACGGTTTTTCTTTTTAAATATAAGCTCTCTGTATTAATTTAAAAATTGAGAGAACCGTAACAAAGACCTCTCTCATCTATCCCTTTCTGGTTTTGACCTGTTTCTTCCATCACTTGTATTCTCAACTATGTCTAACTTATAATTGCAGTGATAAAAGTCATCTACAACCATATTGCCCCAACCTCTCCTGTTGTAATCGTATCTGTCAAAAGAAAGAGTCCTACATTGCACATAATTGTGAGAAGTCAAGTGCATATATATTAACTTGCAAGACAATGGGCTGCTAGAGGTGATGCAACTGAAATCTATTAAAATTGACATTTAGGGATTTAATTGACACACATCCAAAACTAATCACTTTAGAGTACGGGTAGGAAATAAAGAGGTGTTCCAGGGCTTTCTCATGTGTGCATCCGAATAGACACAAACCAGAGCTATTAAGATGATGTTTATTTAGAATTTCATAAGCCAAAAGAACATGATGCAATAATTTTCAAATCAACAAAAGCTGTTTGGATGGGAGAGATGAGGATCATAGAAATATTTAGAAAGGGCTGATGATACGATATCTGTAAAACCATCTCTGGCGGCATAGTTTCCATTATTGTTATTTAATAAGCATGTGAGTTGATGCAGGAAATGAATAGGTAAGTCCTATGTTAAAAGAGAAGCATATAAATTAAAGAAATTCATTAACTCACTGTATTAAGGTCTCCATACGTCACTTTGTAATGTAAGGAACAAAAAGCGACTAACCCAAAATTAGGGGCGGTAAATAAATGGGCGATGAGGATTTAAGAATATTATATCTTAAACCAAACATTTTAAGATTCAAGTTTATTAATCCTTTACTTCATTATAAATGTATTATTAAATTAATTCTATTTACTATGAGACTTCTCACAATGACCAAAGCTCATTTATATTAAAGATGCTATAAACACCAAGTCCTTATCGTTGTAACCAAGGCCAACCCAATTTTTAGGTTTCAAGTAATGTGGCACGCACAAGTCCTGGGCGAAATCACACCAATCTAATTTTTAGACTTCAAAAGGTTTGTAATTAGGGGTTTTCGACGTGATCTTCACATGACTTCTAAACGAAACAAAAGACTTTGTTCCCATTTTCTAAACCACAGTCAATTGTTCGTTATAAACATCTCCTAAACCGACACAATACTTTGCCAAGTAAATGGAAGCAAGTCACTTTTCCTTTGTGAACCCTTGTGATCTCCCCATCATCACATTTATACTTCACTTAAAAATAAAACCAAAGATAGCACACAGAAATTAATTAAACCACACATAAGGAAGAAGTAAGCTATTAAAAATCAAGTCTCCAGTTGAGTCACATCAAGCCACAAAGAGAAGGCACACATTATTGAAAGGTACAGATCAAGAAGAGCAGCACTAGCCAAGCTAGGTTGAGAGGGAATCAATTTTGTGATGAGCCGTTTTGAGAGAGATTGAATAAATCAGATAATCTGGTGGCCACATTTTTCCTTGCAGCAGGAGACACACCGTTCTTCCCAATAATGGACTCCAACACTGCCTCTGACAATAACTTGTTCTCTATTACAACTCCCCCAGCTCTAGGAATGGATCCATCTTTTGAAAAACTTATCTGTTCATCACATTCAAGAGGCCAAAAACATGTAACCATAAAATCATTAGTGTAAAAAGCTTTTTTTTTTTTTAAAAAAAAGAACTGCTATAATAAAGTCCTTTGTAATGATTTAAAATGCACTAAAAATAAAATTAGAGTATTGGATGCATAGAAAAAAAATAAAATTAGGGTGCTGGTTGCATAGAAAAAATAAAATTAGAGTGCTGGATGCACACAAACAAAAAAACATTAAGGTACTTGATGTATCATAAAAAAGACCGGGGTGCTAGATGCACCTGAAAAGAAAATTAGGATGTTATCCTCCTTTAAATAATTATATATCATTAACTTTCTCTTGACTTTTGAAACCTCATAAGAAACTCACTAAAGTTTTTGAATTTATATTATTGACCATATGCCCTGTTAAATAATTTTTTTATGCAAATAACTTTATACTAGAGAGGTTACTTACAAATATTTTAAAAATCATGAAAATTTTCTGCACATGACTCAAAGTTTAGGGAATTATGTATAATGTCTCGGGGATAAAAGGAAGAATTACAATCAAGTCCTATAAAAGAGAAATAACTATTAAAAGATCTCAATAACAACCTAAACAGCCTATAATGATAAGTTTTACAAGAGAGAATGACAGCTTTTGGAATTGTTTTGTAACTTTTTTTCTTCTGTGAGACTTGATTGTAAATCTCCCAAAAGAAGGTCGTTGGCTAGTGTGTACCAGTGCTCAAGGCACATGGCTTGCCCGCACAGTTTGATTAATTTATGTAAAGAAAGTCCTCTTTGTCTAGGTCACATGATCATTTCTTGGATAATGATTTTTTTTTCCTGGCCAGATCTTGGATATAGATTAAAGTTTTTAAAATTTGGGGGGGGGGGGGCATAATATTTATCCTCTAAAATATTCAGATCAAATGTAGAATCAAAAGAGCTGCATAAGAAATCCATGTGACTCATTCTAAAAATACTCCACATATATAGCTTTCTCTGAATTTTTTTTCTTGTTCAAATTTTCCCAGGATTTGATTAATATATGACGCCCAATTTGAAGTAGTTTATAAATTTTTTGAAATGAAACTAAATTTTGAGTAAATTGGCTCAAAGAAATCACCAAAATTAAAATACATTTGACTACTAACAAGATTTGGGTAACTATAAGTCAGAGCCATACCAAATAAACCCACCTTATAAATCTCTTTAAGGTGTCATCAAAATAGCCAATGGATAACAGCATACCGATAAATCCGGCATTGATTTTAAGACCGAGCTATTATTTTGGGTAAATTAATAAAGTTTGAATCTGGTACTTTCCCCACTTTGCTGGCTTCTAAAGTTAGCTAAGAATATTCTAAGGATAGCACGTGTATACTTACCTGAAATTAAGAGCATACACCTGCCAAACCAAGCACTAGATGACCCCAAAAAAAAAAAAAAAAAAAAGGAAGCAAGCACCAGATCCATAAAATAAGGTATTAATAATAATTCCTTTATTCATGGCTTCTATTAGCTATTGTCAATGAATAAAAAAACAAAAAAACTATTATAGATTCATTTGTATGTTTGTGTTGATATTGATGTATTAATCATGACCTAATAAAATACTCTTCTAATTCTATTTGCAAGACGCTTCCCATATGATTTACTAGAATTAAAAAAAAGCTTTAAATCTCATTAATTTTATCTTAGAATTTAATAAATTTTTAACTTTACCTTATTTAATATATACAATTCAGGAAAATACAAATTTATAGAATGATAAAATAAGTCTAAGGACAAAAAATATTCTCTTCCTCTCGGCCCTACAAATGCAATAAAAAATTACGCTTCTCAAACTTAAAATAGATTCTATTTTTTAGTGCTCAAAAAGAAATAAATTCTTTTATTGTTGCCAATAAAGACCACAAATTATTATAATAAATTCGCTTGAGTTAAAATTTGAATGTGCGCTTATATACCTAATAATAATCCTAACTAACCACATCTACCCACCATTCATGGCCTCCTTTTTAAATCATAAAAGACAAACATGAACGACGGAAATTGATAATGCTGAATAAAAAAGTTCTTTTAAAATTTTGAGATATGCTTATGCAACTTTGACTCAAAAATTAATCTTTTAGTATGAAATTTCAATTAAATTTTTATTTAATTATGGTAATTGAAACTCATGACTTCCAAATCAAAAGGCATTAAATAAAACTAATGAATCAGCTGTTTGATTTATTTTATTTTTCTTTTAATTTTGCATATTATCCTCAGAAAAAAAATGGTTTCATCAAATTAATAAGTCAGATCACTAACCGTGAGAGATCCTTTAGGAGATTGAGTGAAGAGAATAGAGGAGCCTGGGGGGAAGGTTTCATCTTTGAAGGTTGCAACAAACTTTTCTATGGCCTTTTCTTCTGCTTCTGTGTAAATTCCCAGAGCTTTCCAAATGGCCACACAATTTTCTGATACTTTCTCAGCATATTGCTGGCCAGTCAATGGCAATATCATTGTCACCCTAGTGAATTTCTCAAATCCACCTGTTTACAAGAAAATATTTTTTTAAAAATTTTTTAGTATTAATTCAAAAACAAGAAAAATATTTATATAACCATATACTATGATTTTAAAAATAGAGTTGACATGGCATTTATTGAAGAGAAAAATTCTTTTAAATCATTTGAGGGTCCAAACATGCACCAAAGAGGCTGTTAAAGGAACTGATCAAAAGGGTAAATCAAAGAAATGGAATTATTGAACGTACTTTTTGGTTAATAATATATTTAACAGTTATTATTAATATAGTATAATGATATTGTGCGATTTATATAGCCATTTAATAAAATACATTGTAGCATATAATATAAAAACTCAAATAAAATATGGTTGTAACACACCTAATCCACTTTAGTTTGTGTGCGTATTTCTCATACAAAACCCTCTCATACTAGTGGAACATACTGCTTCACGTCTTTGAAATTGAATTTGGTCTCAAATATGGTATTAGTATTTCAGTCCACATTGATTGTAAGGTATGATGTTCCAAGAAGGGTTCTAATATACATTATAAATAATTAACTTAATTAATTTTCTTAATATTTTCATATTAATTATCTAGTTTTTATATTAAGGAGGTGTTTAATTACCTCCAAAAGAACTTAAAAAAATATTTTACACAAGTTGAGGTAAAATTTCTCTCAAATACTTATTTTAGACTCTGTAAAATCACTACTAAAAAGCCAATCAAAACAGCTTCTCCGTAGCAGATATACAAGAGTGAGTTCAGTTTTCGTTAAAAATTACTAAAATCTTGATTATAATGATTCTTAGCTAAATCGAAACCAAACACTCTCCAGATTTTTCCCACCAGATTATTTTCATATATGATCAATCTAATGATAAAAATGTACGGTTGGGATTTCATTAGTCAAAGGGTGAAATTACGAGAATGCGGACATTCAAATGCTAATCTGATGAAAAGATCGATGCAGTGACGGATTCGACGGCTGAATTCTCAAACAAATATAGAAAGAAACGCAAGAAGAAGAAAAAATCCGATTCCATTACCAGTGACGATTTCTCTGAAGAACTCGACGGATTCCGTTAACTCCTCCGCCGTCTTTCCCTTCCATTTAGGGGCGAGCACTGGAACGGCGTCATCCTCAAGGTACACTCCGATGGCCGTGAACTTCACGAACTTATCCTGGATTTGGAGGCCCCTCTCCCCAGCTCCGGCAAGGAAGAAGCTCTTCTCGGAGCCCGGAGCTTTCATTGCCAGTGGAAACTCGACGTTCTCCACTTGAACGGCGACGACGGACTGCGGAGCCATAGCAGCGGCGAGATGAGGATCAATGAAGACCTATAAACACACAGATTTTTTTTCTGGGGGGGGGGGGGATTTGTTTGTGCGGCGTGCTGGCAGTTTCATGGCCATTGAGCAGGCGAATTTAAAGGAAAAAATGTACGTAATTTTAAATTTTTTAAATTCATCATTATTTTGCAAATGTTAATTAAATGTTAATATATACCACTCTGGTTGACTTTTTGAAAAAATTTGAGTAGCCTTTGTTTTAAGGCATCAACATGCTATTAGTTACATTTTTTTTTTAATTCTGGCAAAAAAATTATATTTTTTAAAAGAAAAAACTTAACTTAAACGCTTCATATTTATTATGTCAAGTTTTCTAATTACACATAATTGTGTTTCTTTTTTAGTTTCATATGGATTGATAATTGAATGCTAATATATTAAAATTAGAACACATAGTCATATGTAATTGGAGAACTTAAAATAATAGATATAAGAAACTTGATTTAAGTTTCATATATCTGTTTACATTTTCATAATTATATTTAATCATAATTACTATAAAATATAATTTAAGCTTCATTAGGATTTTTCAAAAGTAGAAGCAACTCTTAGTCACCATGCTCAAATGTGCGGTAAGAATTGAAATCACGGTTCATAAGGATTTTAATTGAAAAAACAAACGAACAGAATTAATAAACTTTATAATCAGTTATTTGGGTTCAAACAGTTTTATTTTTTTATTTTTTTGGTGAAACACAGTTTTAGTTTTCATTACTAAACCAAACAAGCACTTATATCATGGATTGCAGTGAATAATGGTATTTCCACTTATGCCTTTTCTAATTAGGCTTCATACTAAAAGTCCATGCTATATTCCGAGATAAAATATGGTTAGAATTTAATAGCACATGCCTTGTTTTGAGTGAAGAATTTAATAGCATTGATTCGTCAGATCCTGTCTATATTGTCACACACATATATATATATATATATATATATATATATTTATATGGGGACAATTTTAAGCCCTCCCTCTTGGCCATAGAAACAATGTTGCAAACTCGTGACTTTAAATAAACTCGTAACGTACATGTAAATTCATATCATAAACTCAAATTATAGTAATTTACTTTTATGAATAAATAATTATTAAAAATATATAATTAAATAATAAAAATATAAAAAATGACCAATTTATATTTCAATATATTTTAAATACAAATAATTGAAATTAAATCCATTGATATTCATACTTCCACCATAATCAATAAAAGCTAATCATATTCAAATCTAAAAAATTGACAGAAGTTTAAAGAGTGATTTGACATGATCTTTTTTATACAACAAAAACTTAGATGAATTGAGTTCTGAGAACTCACTAGGACCAAAACATAGATTCAGGCTAAAAAAATACTTACAGAGGTACTTACAGATCACCTATCAATAAGATCCTCACATTGGCGGTAGGATTCAAACTCACAACCTCATGAGTTATGATGATTTGACATGATTTTATGGGATAGAAACGTAGAAATTGTAAACTCAGTAAGTGAAATCGTAAATTAAATTGAGTTTATAGCTAGTATGAGTTTAAAAGCATGTATAAATGATTTTGTAAGTTGAAAACATAAAAACATTGAACCTAGAGAGTCAACTTACGAGTTTGATAACAACACATAAGAGAGTACCCACATACCAACCCCTATTTGAATCACATAAGATGTTAAAAGTCATTAACTCTTCTATTTTTCTTAACTTTAATATATGTAAGTTGCTTATGTTGGTCAAAACAAAATATATGCAGGTTTCTTAAGTTTTAATATACATGCGAGTATGAGTCCAAAAAAAAAAAAATACATGCGAGTAAGTTTGGCCAAAAAAAAAAAATACATGCAAATAAGTAATAAATGAAACTATTAGTAAGAAAGTCATCTGCATAAATATAAAAACTTGAGCGTATGTATTATAAAGTTCCAAAAAAAAAAATTATTTATACGTAATATAAAATTTAAGGAATTCACGTGATCATTTTGTCCTATTTATAGGTAGAAAAAGAACTAGTTTGTTTGTCTTATTTACAGGATAGAGAGAGAAATTTTTCATATAAAGATATAATTTTAGTTTTTATTTATTATTATGCTGATTTTATTCTAATAAAGTATAATGTATATTAATTAGAGATAAAATTAAAAAATTGTTGATTTTTAATGTAAAGCTAATGGAGTTTAAGATTTTTTTTAATTTATATTACTCCTGGTCCTATTTATAATACCTCGTTTATAAATTATAAATAAGATCTTATAATTAAGACAAAAAATAAAAAATATATTAAAAATAATTTATAAATAGAATTAGCAGAGTTGAAATTTAACGTGATGGATGTAATTCATATCGTCGGTTTGGTGAGGTGGTCAAACGTTCGACGGAACCTCCATGGGCAATGGCGTTGATTGAAAGGTGAGCACGCGCCAATCCGAGTGCTGCTAGTCAACTTTAGTTTGCCGTTGACTCGTCTTTTCGAGAAACTATTAGGTGAGTAGGATATTTTAATATTTGAATTTTTGTTATTGTAAAATGTATTGCTACTTTAAGGATTAAATTAACTGTGATTGAGTCTAGGTCCTTGAAGTTGATTTGCGTGTTTATTATAATAATTGCAATAAGAGTGAAATACACTAATAATCCCTCAATTTCGCCTTTATTACATAGACATTCTATTTCTAAAACTCATATTAACCTTCCTTAAAATTAAAATTTATATTACACAAATCTCCTTTATATAGATGAGATTTCATTTGCAAAATTTATTAATTTATTAATTTTAGTTATATCAAAACATTTATAATTTTAATTTTACATTATAATTCTCTTCTTCAGCATTAGTACATAATTTATTCTCAATATCTTCGACGTGAGCTTTATTATCTTACAATGGTTGACAATTTTTAAAATTAGAATTAACATAAAATAGCATCAAAACAAATTATATCTAGACACGAATTACTTCCAGAATGCCTAAAGGAAGATCATTTGGAGTGGCTAAAATTAGATGTAATCTGAAAAGAACTTAACAGAAAAAAAAAAAATCAATTTAGAGTGTGGCTAGATGATTGGTCATATGGGCAATAAATCTCTAAACATCATCTGAAAATTATTAAACGGAGAACGATCGTGCGAGCGCGCGAGATTCCTGAAAGTAAACCATATTGCTGTGCCCCACTGAAAGAGAACCTACGAAGCCTGGGACAGCCTTGAAAACAAAACTAACAAAATAAGCCATATTGGCAGATAGGCCTGGCAATCATTTGAGTGTTTGTTTGGAGCAGCTTATTTTATCAATATCAGACAAAACTTCTCTTGTATACATTTTGTATGCCACCATAAATCATAAACAAAAATCTGTTTTTAAGACTTCAATAGCCATTCCAAACAAGCTCTATAACAATTTTGACAGGAGTATGTTTGGGTGAATTTTGGGAGGGACGTAGCGCTCTTTGTCAATATAAATGACCATAAAAATAAGAATAAAATTCATAGATTTACTATAATTGTTAGTGGCAGTCTCACCCAAGAGGGGGGTGAATTGAGTGAGTTATAAAAATTTACGAAATTAAAACAAAGAACTATCAGAAACAGAGAGTGTGAGTTTAGAATGATTTCACCGTAGAGAGGAAGACACAAAATTTATACTGGTTCGGTCTCAACCACTTGACCTACGTCCAGTTCTCAGAACATATGTTCCAAGATTGATCAGGCTCTTGGCGCCTCAGTATAGTAATTGAAACTCTCAATCACTCCCCCTTACTTCCCGTAAGGTTATAGACCCACTCAAGAGTCCACACCTTTGAGTATCACACAAACGTGATTAATGAGTAGTAAATAAACTCTCTTACAAAGTGAATAAATGATAATCACTGATGCTCGGTGTTATGGAAGAACAGAGTATTGAATGCAACAGTAAAAATCAACAGAGGGTAGCTCGCGTATTCAATCTATTCATTTAATGCTTCTTCGCGCCTTTTATAGTTGAGGTCGTTTAGTAACCGTTAGACGGAAGAGCTTCTAGCCATTGTGAGTTCGGTTACGTGTTTTTCCAGTTGCGACGGTTTCCGCCATTAATGCTTCTGACGAGGTAGGTTACAGGCTACTTGACAACCATTGGACTGCCGTTGGGATTTTCTTCGTAATCTGTAAAATTACATTAATTCAATAAGTTTTTCTCTGTAGAATAAGATCAAAAGTAGAACCGAACAAATGATAAACGAATATTCATAGTTTATGGTTAGAATCAATCAGTAGTCAGATACGCTGGGTAGTAACTGAACGTGCTTGATCGAAGTGATGTTCGATTATTACTTGATCGATCAGGTTATCGATTATTCTAAGTGAAAGCTTTTGAACCAGATAACTAAGATTATCGATCAAGTGATGGATCAACGGTTTATCGATCAGGTGATCGATAAAAGGAAATAGTGACATTATACTATGATGCATAGACATTGAAGATCAAGGTTGCTTTTGATTTTGAAGCTCTTTAAATGGTGAAATAAGACATTTATGAAGGCTGAGAAAAGCTCAAACAAAATATATGATAAATTTTGAGAAACATCGAGCCTAGTTTAAGGTTTAAATTGAAATCGCCTCATGATCGAATAAGTGATCGAACACTTGTTGATCGATCAGGTTATTGATAAACAGAGTGTTATAGAAATAACTTTTGAAACACTAATTTTCAAACACTTTATCGATAAATAGATGATGGATAACCTTATCGATAAACAATAAGCAAATGAAAACACAGGCTATGTAAGTTGATCGAATAGGTGATCGATAAAATGTTGATCGATAATGTTATCGATAAAGAGATATCCATGTAAAACCAAAAAGCTGATTTATCGATCATGTTATGTGAAAACAAGATAAACATGAAGTGGTTATCGATAATATTATCGATAATCTGATTATTGATCCAGTCATCGAGAGCCATGATGTAACAAAGATATGTTGATTATCGATCATGTGATCGATAATTTTCTGATCGATCAGGTGATCAATAAGCCACTAAAATAAATACCTGCACGAAAAGTTATGAGGCAATGTTTGATCATATTATTGATAAATGGCTAATCGATAATGTGATTGATAAATGGCGACAAAAGCAAAACATAGAATGAGTAAAGTGCATTACCATTTATCTGTCTTCTCATCAATAATCGGTTTATCGATGATATGATCGATAAACACCTATCAAATTTGTATCCTGATTATCGATCAAGTGATCGATAATTTATCCCAGATTTTCATATGCAACTGAGTTAAGAATGATCGATCAACACATTATCTAACATGTTATGGATCAAAGTTTGTGCTGAGTTTACTTAATTAAACAGAGTTATTATCTACCAGTTTATCGATAAAACCTTGATCGATCAGATGATCGATCAACATGCTGAAACACAAATTACTCACTTTGTTATCATCAAAACCTTAATCCTAACATTCTCCCCCTTTTTGATGATGACAAAACATAGGTAAGAAATATCAATCAAGTAACATCAGAAATAGTAAAATTAAACCAGTAGACAAATCAAAGTAAGAAATATACTTTACTGAAGGCATGATCTGTCAAAATACATCACTAAAACTCAGAACACATAACAGTAAGGAGCTAAACATCAGAAAAAAAAACACATCAGAGAAAAATAGACTCTAAGCATCAGAATCCTTCCCCCTCTTTTTGTCAGCATCAGGTGGGGAAGAGGAAGGAGTAGAAACAGGTGGAATGGACAGGGGAATAGGAAGAGGGGGAAGGTGAGAAAGTGGAGAGAATGATGGAATATGAAGAGAAGGAACTGGCTGGGGAACAGTGATCAAGGCCAAAGTAGGAGAGGGAGTGGAAGAGGTAGGTGGTACAGGTGGTGAAGTGGAAATAGGAGAAGTAGGTATAGGGGAGGTAGAAGGTCCAGGCTCATGATGAGGAGGAGATGGGGGATGACGGAGTAAGTCCTCAAAGCTAAAAGTAGTACTGGGGGCAGAGAAGTTGTTGCAGAGAGAGGCTACCGTCCCTTTGAGCTCTCGAATCTCTCTGTCAACATAATCAAATCTCTGAGAAACCTCCTTTTCCAAAACCATCATTGCTTGTCGGTGAAGGTCTAGGATTTTGGAAATGCCCTCAAACTTTCTATCTGAGACTTCCCCATATTCTCGAGCAGTGACATAAACTCTCTTCTCAAACTCTTGAAGCTCGGCTTGAAACATCTCCCTGAGAGATCTCTCCATGAATGAGGGTCCAGGGGCATGAGAAGGAGCTGTAGTGGATTCGGCCTCATCCTGAGTCTTAGAGGTACTGACAACTGGTTGCTTTCCTTTATCCTTCTGAGGTACCTTTTATGATGGTCTGAAAGGTAGAGGAATCCTCATTTTGTGTAGCTGTGTAATCCCAAAGGCAGGAACCTTTGTCTTGGACTCTCCAGGCTCAAAAGGGGCAATGTTATTTGCCTGTAGTGTAACATCCTAAGTTTTAGCGGGTTTTAATAGCCTCTTTTTGGTTGATTTTGAGGATAGATTAGTGATTTAATGTTGATGTTGGTGTTTGGGTTGGAATTGAGGTATGTTGGAGGAATAGGTGAACAGACCCCTCTCAGGGTATGTTCGTCACGGCGAACCGGCAGTTCCAGGGGGGATTGTCTTTTGGGAAGGTTTGGCCGCGGTGAAATCAGAGGGACGCCGCGGCGAAGTTGTTCAAGTGAGCGAGGTTTCCCTCTTGGGAAGGTTTCACCGCGGCGAAGGTAGGGGTATGTCGCGGCGAAGGTTTTCTGGGCGAGTGAGAGTTTCCTCTCGAGAAGCTTTCGCCACAACGAAGATTGGAGTTTGCCACGGTGAAGTTAGGTTTCCAGGCAAGTAATCCCTCTCGGGATTAGTTCACCGCAACGAAGTTATGGGTTCGCCGCGGCGAAAGGTGCCGAATCTATATAATCGCGGGAGGGTCTGGTTCTGCGAAAATTAGAAAATCTGCAGGAGGAGAGAGAAGCTCTGCTAGGGTTTCGGTATTGTGGCTTGGGAAAGGTGTTTCTAAGGATCCATTACCTCAAGTAAGTGATTTTAACCTCTAATCTACTTTCTTTCTTGGAATTTCTGAGGATTTATGGTGAAACCCTAGAGTTTTCTAGGTTGTTATGGAATTGAGGTTTTTGACCAATTGTTTTGAGTTTAATTGATTGCTTTGGGTTAGTCTAAGTATTTAATCGGTGTAGTTCTCTTGGATTTGAAGAACTTTGAGTTTTTGAACTTAGGGTTTATGGAAATGGGAGGTTTGTGATTGAGGATGATAATGTGGAGGTTGATTTTGAGTTTTGTGAATTGGGATATGTTAAGGAGGGTTAAATTGGATGTTTAATCGGTTTAGAATTTTGTTAGGACTTCAATGAAAGGAATTAAGGTTTTAATGGATTTTTATGACCTTGGAGTGTTGCCTTGGTGGTTATACCCTTTGAGTTGGGTAGAGTTTGGTTGGAGTTAGGAATTTTGTGTCCCCAAGTGTTGTTTTGACCACATTATTAGTTGAAAGCTAATACATGTTGGTTGTGTGCTTGTGTAGACCGGTTGTGAGCCTTGTTGGTGCACGGGGCCGTGTTATCGGTTTGTTATTCCTTGCTCAGGCAAGAGGTAACCACTTTCCAATCCTTTGTACATGCTTTTGTGGTATTGTGAGTGGATTTATGTTTTGTGCTCCGGATAACAACTGTGTTCAAAGTGTATGTTGTATATTGAAAAGGAAAACCGTCTTGTGGGGTTTAAATTGATATTGATTGAATTTGTAACTTATGAAAGATAGGCCACTGAAAGAAGTAATTTGTGAAATGATTATTTACTCTTTGATTATGGTTTGAGCATGATGCATGAATTGGGAATTGGTGAGAGTTTTGATTGTTACTACCACATGGTAAGGCCTCCATTAATGCATGATGGTTGGCTCTTTACGTCCCCCATAGTGAGGGATAGGCCTTTTGGCTCCCTACGTCCCCCAGAGTGAGGGATAGGCCTTTTATGGCTCCTTATGTCCCCCATAGTGAGGGATAGGCCGGCTTCGGCCCTTGAAGATCCCCCAAAGTGAGGGATATGGTTGATGGGATTGCATCATTGCACTTGCATTGCTTGTTGTGGCTATCATTTATAATATTACTTGTGAACTATCCCACTTGACACCTCATGAGCACCTATTTAGTAGTACCTTGAATTGGAAGGATTGGTTACTGGGACGTTGTCTCACCCCGTGGTTTACAATGTTTTTAGGTGAAGATTCTAGGCGTATGCCATCGGGAAGAGACGCAGAGGCTTGAGCTTGGTTAGCTTTAGGCCTCTAGCCCTTGTATATGTATGGCCAGTATATATTGCCACGTTTAGGATCCCTTTTGAAATATTTTGATTACCCGGCCTTGTTGTAAACTGGAGAGAATGATATCTCCTTATTTGGTTGGCCGGAGGCCATTTCTAGTGTCTTATGAAACTCTGATTTATTGTGTTAGAAACCATTTGGATGGGCTGATGTGATGCATCTTGTTACCCAGGCCGGAGGCTCGGAGGCCCAGTAGATGTTAATGAATGATTTTTAGTTGCATGCAACGGAGTTTGGGTTTGACCCGAGTTTGAAAGTCAATTTCTAAAAATATGCGAATTTCTTTCTACTATGGTAGTTCATTTTAACAGCTTTCCTTTTCTACCATAGTAGTGATTTTATGACAAGTTTATAATGTTTTGGGGTAAAGGGTTTTACATGTAGGATGTATGTGGCCAACTGAGGGTAGGGGATCGGTGTAGACTTGGATTTGTTGAGAACAAAATCCTTTATCTCATTATAGATCAAAGCCCCTATATTAATCCTTTCTCCACTGATTATCCAGGCCAGTAGCAAGTAGTCATCTTGAGTTAAGTGTGAGAAGCTCCCGGATTTGTTGATCATACTTCTTGAATAGATATAGTGGATTATTCTATAATAATCACACATTTGTTTAGGTGGGAAATTTAGCTCACCGGGGTACTCATCACTTTGCATCAAAATCTTATAGGCCTTAATTTCATTCATATCTCCCCCTCTCACCGAATCTTGAGTTCCCAACAACTCATTAATCTTAGTATCAGTAAGGTGGAAGGTTCTACCTCTAAGTTTGACCCTTAAATAGTCATTTACCAAATTGTCCTGCTCATCATATTCTTCTACTGATTCCATATTACAGTAGAACCTTTTAATCACTTCAGGACAAAATTCTCCACCAATTATCAGCCAGTTTGAATAGTATCCAGGGGATCACTCAAGTCCAAATTAATCTGAGTATTTTTCTTTAAACTTTCTATATGCACAGAAACAACAAGGCAAAATCTTTGGTTTGCAAAATCAGCCTTAAACTTAGCCGAATTCACATCCTTATCAAGGTTTCCAACTAGTAATTCAGAGAAATCAGATGGAATACCTTCAAAGGGAATTTGTCATGCCATCCCTTCACTGGTTCTCTGCTTTTTCTGCCTTGGTTGCTTGGGAATGGGAATTCTCAATGCGGTCTCCACAGCTTTCTAAACTGAGGCTCTGTCATCTGACTCGGTTTTTGATTCCTCAGTGACTACTAGTAGCTTGGATTTGGAATGGGGAGATTTCTGTGGAGGAACGGGTTGCTCTTTGGCCCGACTTTCTCGGATTTTCAAGACACCTCTTTTCTTGGATGATTCTTCCCTCACTTTCGGTCTATATCGCTTCCTAGTGCTCGAGGGAGTAGTGTCGCTCGATTGGACTTGTTTCTCTGAGCCTTCTTCCCTTTCCACATTCGGCTGTTTCACTCGCGCCATTTTGGACGAACCGACAGATTTCGGAGAGATTAATCAGTTGGAAGAGAGTATTTCGAGGTCGGTGGTAGTCAAAAAGGTAGTAGAGTTGGATTCGAGTGGATGGGTGACCGGAAATTTAATGGAATAGTGATTTTGGACTATTGCTAGAAACAGGGGAGCGGTTTTGATCGAGTTAGGGTTCGATAACTGACGAGAGTTTTTGAAGTTTTTAACGTTTAAAGTTCAAAATTATCGATCATGTTATCGATTAGCAAATGATTGATCACATGTTCGATAAATATGAAGAACACATAAGAATACTGGAGGCAATTATCAATCACGTTATCGAACAATCAATTATCGAATATGTTATCGATAAAGTTAGTAGATGAAATGCGTGCCTGATCTTTTTATCGATCATTTGATCGATAATCCGTTGATCGATCAGCTTATCGATTAATGCTTACCAAAATTTGAGTAAATATCGCAAAAGACTTGCCGCTCCTAATCGATGTTTTGATCGATAATCCATTTATCGATCAGCTTATCAATAATCATTGTTTTGAATCTCTTCTTTTTCCACACATGCTATATTTATCGATCAGGTGATCGATAAATTACTTCTTTGTGGCTTCATGATTATCGATCTCTTGTTTGATCATTCCATACTCTGTTTACCTCTATTTTTCTTTGACAAAACAGAGCTTCCTGCAAAACAAATTTTTATCTACTCCGATGCTTAAGTTAGTCATTTAATCATCAAAACATTAAATTTAAAGATTGAAATTTGAGAGATAATGTGAGATTTCTTACAACTCATTGAGATTTATCATTCCCAATTCTCTTCGAAAGAAGTTGAACTTCTGTTGATCTAGAGGCTTCGTGAAGATGTCGGCTATTTGATATTCAGTGGGGATGAATTCTACCTTTACATCTTTCTTTTGAACATGATCTCGAATGAAATGATGTCGAACATCGATATGCTTAGTTCGAGCATGATGGACTGGATTCTTGGACAGACTTATCATACTCGTGTTATCACATAGGATTAGAATCTCTCGTAAGTTGATTCCTAGATCCTATAGTTGTTGCTTTAACCATAGAATTTGAGCACAACAACTTGCAGTGGCCACATATTTTGATTTTGTCGAGGAGATTGCCATAGTATTCTGCTTTTTGCTTGACCACGAGACAAGGCAGCCTCTGAAAAATTGACATTGTCCACTGGTGCTTTTTCTATTGTCTTATATCCTCCATGGTCTGCTTCTGAATATCCCATTAGATATTCTGCTCCCGTCTTTGGATACCAGATTCCCAGATTTTGAGTTCCTACAAGGTATCTGAGAATTCTCTTGACGGCTTCTTTGTGTGACTCTTTTGGAGCTGATTGATATCTTGCGCACATTCCCACACTGAATTGTATATCTGGTCTACTAGCAGTGAGATATAGTAATGAACCAATCATTCCTCTATATCTGGTCAGATTCACGTCCTTGCCGTTTTCGTCTGCATCTAGCGAGATGATTGAGCTCATCGGAGTTTTTACACTTTTGGCATTTTCTAATCCATATTTCTTTAATAACTCCTTCAGATACTTCGTCTGGGATATAAATATGCCATTTTTCTTCTGCTTGATTTGTAAAACCAGAAAGAAATTCAGCTCTCCCATCATCGACATTTTGAATTCTCCCTGTATTAGTGTAGCAAACTCTTGACAAAGATCTTTATTAGTAGCTCCGAAAATAATATCATCCACATAAATTTGAACAATCAAAAGATCTTTCCTACTTCTTTTAATGAAAAGAGTAGCATCTACTTTGCCTCTTTCAAATCTTTTTTTCTATCAGAAAATTGCTAAGACATTCATACCAAGCTCTGGGAGCTTGTTTTAAACCATACAAAGCCATTTTTAGTTTATAAACATGATCAGGAAAGTTTGAATCTTCAAAACCAGGAGGTTGTTTGATAAAAACTTCTTCTAAAATATATCCATTCAAAAATGCACTTTTAACATCCATTTGATATAGTTTGAAATCTTTAATGCAAGCAAAGGCTAAGAGTACCTGTATGGCCTCCAATCTAGCTACTGGAGCATAAGTTTCTTCATAATCAATGCCTTCTTCTTGATTATATCCTTTAGCTACCAATTTGGCTTTATTTCTGACGATTTGTTCAGACTCATCGAGCTTATTTTTAATACCCATTTGGTGCCTATGACTGGATGATCATTAGGTCTGGGAACCAGTTCCCAAACTTGGTTTCTCTCGAATTGGTTAAGCTCTTCCTGCATTGCGACTATCCAGAATTCATCGAATATGGCCTTGTCAACATTGGTAGGTTCAATGTGGGATATGAATGCAGAGAAGCACACTTCATTGAACACTTGTCTCCGGGTTTTGACCCCTTCATTGACTTTACCAATGACTTGTTCTAGTGGATGGTCTCGGTTATGTCTCTAAGCCTTAGGCTGCTCTAAATTTTCTTGTGATGAAGGTCCATTTAAATCATTTTTGTTTTCTAAAAATTCTTCTGAAGGTAATTTGTTTCAAGACTTGTTTAAATCCAGTTTTTGAAAATTTTGAACGATCTCGGCATCATCATCTAGAGGTTTTGAAATTGGTTCGGTTTCAACAAACACAACATGAATTGATTCTTCAATTGTAAAAGTGCGTTTGTTGAAAACCCTATAAGCTTTACTACAATTAGAGTAACCACGAAATAATCCTTCATCAGCTTTAGGATTGAATTTACCCAGATTTTCTTTGTTGTTGTTGTGAATGTAGTACTTACTCCCGAAGATCCTTAAATGAGCCAGGTTAGGCTTTCTTCCTTTGTATAGCTCATATGGTGTTTTCCCGAGTAGCATTCTAATGTAGGCTCTATTGGAGATGTAGCAAGCCTTGCTCATTGCTTCTGCCCAGAACACTTGTGAAATTCCTTTCTCGTTCAGCATTGCCCTTGCCATTTTTGTGAGCACTCTGTTTTTCCGTTCGACAACACCGTTTTGTTGAGGAGTTCTTGGTGCTGAAAAATTGTGATCAATTCCATGCTCGTCACAGTAGTCTGTGAATTTGTTGTTTTCAAATTCTCCTCCGTGATCAGACCTGATTGACACAATGGAAATACCTTTCTCATTTTGGACCTTTTTGGCAAAAACAATAAAAGCATTAAACGTTTCATCTTTAGAGGAAAGAAACAAAGTCTAAGTGAATCTTGAATAGTCATCAACTATCACAAGAGTGTACAGGTTTCCATCAAAACTTTTCACTCTCGACGGACCAACCAAATCCATATGAAGCATTTGGAGTGGCCTTTCGGTTGAGACTGTCTTCTTTGATTTAAACGAAGACTTTGTTTGTTTACCCTTCTGACAGGCGTCACAAATAATATCATGTTCATACTGAATTTTCGGTAAACCAACAAAAATCCCTTTTTGTTAATTTTGAAAGTTGATTATGTTAACATGTGCAAGACGTTTATGCCAACCCAACTTTCCTCCTTTTTACTAATAAAACAGTTTTTAGAAGATTTAGAGTCAATTTGAAGTGTATAACAGTTACCGGCTTTATATTCAACTCTTCTTTCTTCAATGGCAGGTCGTCTTTACTTATTACTAAGCATTCTTCGGAATCAAAGATCACCCAGTTATTTTTGTCAGTACTCTGACTGACACTGAGTAGATTGTGACACAGACCTTCCACATAGTACACATCTTCACCTTCATTCTTTGTTACTTCCTATCTCTCCGATTCTAGCAATTCTTCCGGATTGATTGCCACCGAAACTTACTTTGCCTCCGTCTTTTGGTTTGAGTGATGTGAACTTCTCAGTATCACCCGTCATGTGTCTAGAGCATCCACTGTCGATGTACCATTTGTTCGTTCTGATGCTTTGAGGCATACTTGCAAAAGACACAATCATGTTTTAGGTACCCATACCTTTTGGGTCCTTTTTGGTTAGTATGAGTTGTCCTAGGCACATAAGTACCTTTGGGCACTCATTTTAATGTCCGTAAATCCCTTTCTTCTTGTGATAACAAGAAGAGGTTGTATGACCTTTACGGTTGCAATAAGAGCAAAGTGCAAATGGATTAGAGGAATGAATAGTATTTCTAAAGAATGTGAGATATGATCGACCACTACTCTTCTTCTTTCCCTTCAACTTATCCTGAACAGGATCATATCCTATTCCAGTTTTATCCATTGAACATCGTTGAGCTCCCAAAATCACTTTGAGCATTTCACTACCCTTAGTGAATTTTTCTAAGGTTTTTGTGAGATCCTCGGCCTTCTTTCTGTTCTTTTCACATTCCATGCATCCTGGAGGCGGGACTACGTTGTCTTCAAGCTTCGTTTGCTGTTCTTCCAGGAACTTTATTCTTTTCTTGGAGCTTACCAACTCCTTTGCAATTCTTACTAATTCTAAATGTAATGCATTGTATTCAGACTGTAATTCATCATAAGAGGGTTCAGAAGTGATTACCTCATCTGTTTCTGATTCTTTGTCTTCCTGAGCCACGAGATAGATGTTGGCGGTTTCTTCATCATCACTTTCTTCTCCTTCTTCCGAAGAACTGTTGCCCTAGATTGATGTGACAAAGGCTTTCTTCTTTCTAAATCTTTCTTTCTTCTTTTCTTTGTCCTTCATCTTGGATAGTTGGGGACACTCTGCTTTGATGTGTCCTGGTTTCTTGCATTCAAAACAGATGATCGGTTCTTTTGACTCATTCTGAGATGTTGAGATTTTGCATTTTGACTGAAACTTCCTTCCAGCTCTGCTCTTGTAGAATTTCTTGAATCTTCTGATGATAAGACCCATTTCATCATCCTCCAGATCTTCTTCGTTGTCATCTTCGCTCTCTTGAGTTTTAAGAGTGATACTTTTGCGGTTCTTCTCGTTCATCTCCTTTTTGTATCTTTGCTTGCTCTCATATTCTGCAAGGCTTCCGAATAGCGCTGCAACAGAGCCAATTGATTCTCCCTTTGTTTCTTCAATTGCTATTACCTTCAGCTCCCATTCTT